AAACCTCAATTTCAGCACCCAAACATTAATTCCAAGTTTCCTACAGCACCCAAACGTTAATCACAGCACTTGTAAGCTACCTCAAGCAGCTCAAACTACAAATTCAGCACCCAAACATTAATTCCAAGTTTTCTACAGCACCCAAACGATAATTCCAGCACTTGTAAGCTACCTCAAGCAGCTCAAACTACAATTTCAGCACCCAAACATTAATTCCAAGTTTTCTACAGCACCCAAACGATAATTCCAGCACTTGTAAGCTACCTCAAGCAGCTCAAACTACAATTTCAGCACCCAAACATTAATTCCAAGTTTCCTACAGCACCCAAACGTTAATTCCAGCACTTGTAAGCTACCTCAAGCGGCTCAAACTACAATTTCAGCACCCAATAGCACTCTAAAACACTCCAAATCAGCATTTCTAAAACCTTCAAACCATACACATATAAACCCAAGACAACACTTTCAAAACAGCTCTCAAATCAGCCCCTTTTAAAAGCTTCAAACAACATTTTAAAACAACAAGTAAAATCCCCAAATAACAGTAAGACCAAATCAGAAGTTGCAGTTGAATCCCTAAGAAAAAAAAAAGAGTTCACCTTCACTTTCAAAGGGTAACCATAGGCAATGAATATTAGCTTCCTTTCCATTAACAGAACTGGATTAAAGCATGACTTGCCCATCCTTCATAGTTTTCAAAGCTATGAATCTCTTTTTGTTCACAGCGGGACAAATTCCAGTAAAAGGGAAGCATCCTTGAGCAGAAAATAAAATTGCCGATACGAAAATAGCTTCCCACATGTATAGGTTTCTCTTTACAGACTCAATATACGGCTTAAACATCCCTCGCCACAACTCAAAATTCCATCTGGAGGCAGCTTACAATGGCAAGCCCAACATACACCTCTCCATCAAAATATGCATCACCCGCTTTAAAAAATAAATAAAAAAAAAAACAGAATGGCAATAAGAGTCCCAATTATAATATATTGAACAACACCGAACAACACCAATTTTTGAACAACACCAATTTTGATAATCAGGTAAAGCCATTCATCCAATCTCCAGGGTTCTTTTTAAAAAATAATAATAATAATAATTCTTTCGGAAGGGTTGTTTCAATATAAGGAATAAGTGTAGATAAGTGATAAAACATGCTCATCCAGTAAAAGACATTGGGAGAAATCGTTTCTTCTCATGCACCTTTAATCAAAGTCCAAGATTTGAAATGTCTAAGTTTAGGAAATAGAAATGAAACATTTTCAGTGACAGGTATATCAAGTTTTCCCCATGCATACGTTTTATTTATTTTTTTATAAAGGATCCAAAGTATTGCAAGCATCGAACCTTTTAGATTTTCACAAAAAAAAAAATCAAAATAACTTCCAGGTCCTCCAAAAGGCCATTGTATTCTCAGATTTTTCAAAAAAGAACATCAAGATTTTCAGATTTTCGTAGGTAAAATAATAAAAATGACTTTCAGATTTCTCCAAAAAGGTCATTGCATTCTCAGATTTTTCAAAAAAAAGCACCATGATAAGCATCTTGAACCATTCAAAAGCCAAGCAGATAAATCACATCTCAGAGCATAAGAGAAGAAGGTTCCTCTTAATTAAATCAAGAGCACATGAACACCTATTATTGCATGAGGAAAGTCACAAATAAATTAAAGAAGAAAGCAGTAAGATTCTTACTTCCAAATGCTGAAGAACAAAGAAGAAGAGAAAAAGGGCTTTGGACTTATCAGGAGGCGTGAGCGAGGAATGGCAGCGTCGAGGGCTAAGGTCGTTTGGTGTAAGAGAGTGTCGGTGCAGAGGAGTCGATCGTGAGAAGGAGGAGGTGAGGATGAAGCAGATGAGTGATTCTGGTGCTGAGGGAAGAAGCGAGGGCTTCGACGTGGGAGGCGGGATCGAGCAGGCGAGTGGGTTTCTTCGGCGCAGGGAGGAGGCGAGCAGGCGAGTGCGGGAGAGGTCTCAAGCGTAACTTCTTCTACGCAAGGAAGAGGGATGTGTGATTGAGCAGAGAGCGGGAGGACGAAGGAGCTAATCGCACGAGAGAAAAAAAAATAGACGGGAGCGGGAGCGAGCGGAGCGGCGGCGGATCGAATGGTGATCGAATGAATCCTTTTGTCTTCTGTCGAGGCCAATTAGTATAGTTGAATATGAGCGAGCCGTTACGTGAAAGCTTTGGCGGGGAATTGAATGGTTTCCTTGCGCAGATGAGACTTAATTGGAAAAGAATTATTTCTTCATTAAATCTTATTATTATGGGATTAATGATATATTTGAATTTTAAAATTTGAAATTTGAAATTTGTGAGCTGAAATAATTAGCCCGGGCTTAGCCCATATCTAGCCCAAGTCAAACTCGAAATGAACCTGGGTTGAGCCCGGGCCCATGCCCGCTATAAAAAAAATGTGCATTGATTTCCGTGCTGTTTATGCGTGCGCATAACCCTACCAATACGGGTGTCCTTCCCGATTAAAGTTGACGTTCCGGACGTGTCAATGTGGTACGTTTCGTCATACAAGGTCGTCCGGCCAAATTCGTCGGTGGGCAAGTCAATTCTGTCATACAAGGTCGTCCGGACAAATTCGTCGGTGGGCAAGTCAATTCAAGTCAAAGTCGTGTGTGGTGCAGTGAGTACGTGAATTGTGGCGTTCGTGAGTATTTGAGTCACAAAGGATTCACCTAAGGTCGTTTGATCCTATAAGAACTTATTTTCGGGTCCTCTACATGTTGGTCATTAACTTTTGCAACTAGAAGTTGAGTGCTTGGAACCACTCATGCGAGTTCTTCACAAAAATGAGTCAAGAAGTGGTTCGAAGCTCTACGGGAGGTGGGCTTTATTACTAGTCCACTAGGATGGTCAACAAGGGACTCTTAAGACTACATTTTGAGTTCTGGGTATAGGAAACTAAGACCTCACTAAAAAAGAGTTCAACAACTATATGGAGTCATTTAAATAAAAAAATTAGTTCAGCAATGTACCCGCGAACACATGTTTAAACAAGAGGAATGAACTCCATTGTTGGAAAACTTACTCAAATTTTTGTGAATATGAACATCCTATAGTGAGATCCAGATCTTTCTGGAGAAGAAGAAGAAACATCTCATGAGGGGTAAACACTGAAAGTGATCCATCATGCCCCAAATGTCATTCCAGAGTTAGTTCCCCCAAACGAATTTGTTTATCGGATGTGCCCTGTCGAGTACGAAGAGTACATGAGACAAATTACAGATTTAATAGCTCGGGAGTTACTTTAAGAAAATCTACCTCGATATCCAGCGCCGGCTCAGGTTGTGTCAAAAGAGGATGGATAATTATTCTATGAAGATGTAGTTTAGAAAGACAACGCCTATAAGATTGATTTACCCGGAGCATAAAATATTTTTGTCACCTTCAACATGGCTGACCTAACGTCATACTATGAGGCGATAAAAGCTTTGACGGATGATGTTGAAACTCCCCAACCCCTAGAGATTGACGAGGGTGTCTCCCTCATACGGAACAGACACGGAAAGTCTCGTGACAAAAGCAGCATGTCGTTGCTTCCCTGGGCCAAATTGGTCCAAATTTTTCTTTCTTCGGAGGAGTCGGTCGATCCTCCTGGACCACTCCTAGTAATCTTATTATTATATATTTTCTTTCGTAAGAGTCTAAGGTTAGTTTTGTCATGAATTTTGTTCAGGATAGAGACCAACAGCTTCGTTTCTCCCTCAGAGGGTTGTATCTAATGGTCGAGTGATGCTAAGTACTCCGACTATATCTCGCTCCTGAGGTGGTGTTTATCTTTCCTCAACTCCTTTGTATCTCCTCGGTTTTCTACAAGGCATCCCTCTTTTGTTTTGGCCTCCTAAAACAGTGTTCTTGGTTGTTCCTTTGTGGTTTCAACCGTCATCGTTGCCTTCCCTTCCTCTTCATTGTCATCATTGTCCTCGGATCCACACTTCACTGCCATCGTTGTCCCAACCCTCCGCCTTCACTGTCGCATCACTGCAAATCCTTACCTTTGTTGTTTTACCACTGTCCAATTGTCTGACATCATTTTCACAGCCATGCAACTCCTTCCCTTGTTGTTTTACAACTGTCCAGCCATTCGGCATTGCTGTCGTAGCCCCTTAACTCCTTCCCTTTGTCGTTTTTTTGTTGTTCCAGCCGCCCACTAGCTCTATGGCCCCTCATCCACCTCCCAAAAACCTTACCTGTTGAAACCTCCACCCTCTAACACCCCATTCTATCCATTCCATCTACCTATCACAACTTCTAGCCTAACTGGACAACCTCCACCACCCTCTGGATTGACCTCTATTTGAGTTCGTGTGTTGGTTTTGTTATTATTTTTCATTTCAGTGCCTTGACTGTAATATCTTATTTACTTCCGGTAATAATATTTTGGTTTTCCGTTGTAGTTTGGGTTTTCTTCGGTATCAAAAAAGTAATTAAACTATATAAGTTTGTAGCTCATATAGCCTAGGATGATCTAGTCTACCATACTATATGTTTCATATTCATCATCATCATCTATGCTTGGTTCTACATTACGGGATTTAATTTTACCAATATCTCCTAAGATTGATCCTCTTCATTCTCAACGTTTACTATTTTGTAGCTAGAAGCTCCTCTGCATACTTGTTTCCTATAAGGCATGCGCTTCTCTAGCTCTTGATGTTTTTTCCACAAATTATCATTGAAATGGGGATCACATTGTAAGTCATAAACGATAAAACGATTAGAAAGGATAGAAAAACAATTTCTAACATTTGATCCAGCACATAGAGACTCTAAAATCCATTTCTCATCAATAAGAACACAATCAAGAACTCCATAAACCATTTCCCATCAATCGGAAGACCAGAGCCTTAGAATTTCACCATAATATACTCATGCAAAGAGCCCAAACAACGATTGACGAGAAAGAAGGAAGGTTATAATGAAATTTTTTGCCAGTAAAAATCACCAAACTATAATAAACCACATAAGCAACATAGTGCGCAAACCTGGTTTAAACGATTAAGTCTTATATGGGGAGATTCACCTCCCATTCTTGGTGCAAAATCCAAGACACTTACACCACAGTTGCTTTGTAAGAGAATTCTGAAGTATTTTGGTCCTAATCCTACACAGACATGCAGAAAAAAAAAAAGTGAGATCCATAAGAAGATCATAATCAGCTTGCTGTAGACAATGTCAAAAGAAATTACCAATCGCAGTGGCAACAAGAGCTTGATTGACAGCATTGTGTGCAACTACTAACACAGACCTTCCTTCATGAGCCAAAATTTTGTTCCAGCAGCTCTCAGCTCGGTCCCAGAGTTCCCTCACAGGATAATGTCCATCAATTTGAAAGTTAGCAGCATCTTGCTGCCATTGACGATATGCACCACCAAACTTCTCTTTTCCTTCATGCTTTAAGAGGCCCTAACGAGGATAGATATGGAAAAAGTATTAGTGCAATTGGAGAAATAACCTTTACTATAAGAATGTTGTTTATTAGAGATTGTTTGGTCGACAGCAAAAAGAGTGCACTGCATTCCTTTAGCAATAGTTTTAAAAATCCCGGTAGTTGATGGGGAAAAAAATAAATGCAATGTAAAATTACAAATATATTTGCAATTTATTCTCTAGTTCAATTTCAATGTATTTGAAACTTGCTAGATTTGGACAAATTCCAAACACAATACTTTATGTAAAGTGTTGCCCATCGCCACTAGACCTAGAAATTGGGCTGGCGGCCAACGGGCCCGCCATAAGCCCACCTAGAATGGGCGGGCTTGACTATGAAAAAAATAAAATTTTGCGGGCCCAACAGGGCTCGAGTCCGCTTTGACTTAATCAAAAGCCCGAATGAGTCTGACCCGTGGCAAGTCTGACCCGTGGCAAGCCTGGCCCGCCCATTGGCTTTGTATCATAAATATATTTCGTCATTGCAAGCTTTTGAGACGATTAATTTCCTCGTACTTTCTCTTCTTCTAAAATCATAACTTTTAATTTTTATACTAATACCAACCAACTCTTTTAATATCACATAAAAATTATCACTTATAATTTTCTTTATAATGAAATACAACTTCCATGCATATATAACATGACAAATATGTAAAAATTGAAGTATAGGTGTTAGATATGTAAATAAATAAAATATGATAAGTAGTATATAAGTAAATGTTTTTTTTTTTTTTTGCAGTATTTTACTCAACTATTTGTATTTACATATCAAGATATTCTCAGTTTAAAATTTTTCGTATTTCGTGTGTATACGTTTATTATTAAATTCATTTAAACGTATAAGAAAATTTTAAAACTCTTGTCGCCTTTCATGTTTTAAACATTCATATTACAAATTTTTTTAATATTTTAAATCAACAAAATGATTTGAGAGAAAATGTTAAAGATTTTATTATTTATTTATTTATTGTTATAAAAAATCACTTTTCTTTTGAGGCCCAATACCCAAGACTAATCCCCACCATCACACTCTGGTTGCCACCCGCAACCCATCAGTAGCTGCCTCCCACCACCACCAGCTACACATCGATTGTCGCTTGCATGACACTAGCTAGCCACCATCTCCCACGGCCGCCCCAATAGGCCGCTCACAGCGACGCCTACTGTAACGCCCAAATTTTGAGAAAACAAGTGAAGTTTGGCAAATTGGAAAATTATCCCAAATTTTACATCTCCCACAATTCAATCAAAGTATTTTTATAAAAATCTACGTAGGAAATCGATCAATTCCCCGATAAGCACCATATGTTAATTATGAACAAAATGGGAGATTTAAAATTTGAAAGTTATGTTTTATTAAATTAATTAAACTCAATTAAATCTCTAAATTTCGCATGATCAATGCTCCCCACCAACCTTACGTCATTTTATTCCATTTGTTCGGTTGAACAGGGCTCCAGTGAACTTCGAATTACTTCCCCTCATCGATTCTCTCTCTCTCTCTCTCTCCATTACTGCAGCGACAACAGGCGAATTCCACAAGCCTCTGATCGATTGTTGTAGCGCAAAGAAGCTCGCTATCCTTGCGCACGACAAGGATGTGAGTGGAGATTCTGGGAGCCGCATTTCACGACAGAGAGCTCCGGAACGATTTTGAAAGATATGAAAATAATTTTAGTAATATTTGAGACATTCATGTCCTTCCTCACCCTTTCGTTTTGGCATTTACTTCATTTTTCATGCATTTTTCTTTTCTGGTACCCATCAAAGATACAATATTTCGAACTCTTGATATTTAGGCTAGAGCGAAATTCTGGGAACCATTGGAATTAGGGGGTGACAGACCGTTCAGGAACCATTGATATCAGGGGAGCTATTGGTAACTGCTATGTTGAGAGAAATTCAACTTTTATCGATAGTTTATATGGTCGTTGGAACAGAGTGATGACTCACAATAAAAGAAATGAAAATAGTTGAGGTTTATATATTTGCACGTGACATTACTATGAAATGACATTGTTACAATTACATACAATAAACAACTTATGAATATGCTTTTGATTATAGTTATGATTTCATGCTTACAAACTACATGTTTACACTCCAGTTTTGATTTTTGCACTACATGTTCTCTACCATACCAGCTTGTTATGATTTGTGTGTAGGCATGTATAGTGACATATGAGCATGCAAGTTATTTTCTTTTAGTGTATAAAAATCTTATGTTATTTTTTATTATTTCTCTAAGCTGGTTATTGCTTGGGCGTGATCTGTACATTTTTACACTATATAATTTTGGGAGCTATACATACTTTTTAGGTGCGTATTTAGTTTATGTTAGATTTAGTATCTCTGTATAGTTTATATATTCTGAGGTTATGATTTTCATATTTTCGAGTATGAATATGAATAAAGTATGAAATGAATATATCACATATAATGCGACAATTTAATTATACTAGTTCAGCACCCACTGGGTCCTGATTTTGCATGTCAAGACGAGAGTTGATGTTAATCTAGTTGAATTGTTCTCCTCTATCGCACCTATCCAACCATTAACAGAGAATGTAGGGGGGATGTGACATACGCAGTGGCAGTCGCAACAACCTTCCATTTCACAGCCACAACCCTACGTCCGCTCATAAACTGTCTTCTCCCTCCGCCGCCACCAGTAATCAATCGCCACCCTCGAAGTAGTTGGCGCCTATCACCACCACTGGTGGGCATATTTACATTGATTTTGGTTTTCTTCAAACCAAATAAAAAAAAAGAATAAAGTCTTGTATTTCTTTTACATTAAACCAAACAAATCCAAAACATTCAAAAAATAATACATTCCTTTTACATTGATTTCTTTTTAAGCAAGCTAAATAAACCCTAAGTGATAGTATCACTTACCTGAAAAGAATATAGATCAATCTCCCTAAGGTCTGGCTCCTCTAACACTTTGTCCTTGCGAGAATCCCATATAATCTTAGCTGTTCTCTTGGATCGAATCAAGGGACTGAAAGGCAGAAGAAAAACAATATTCCATTAGAAACAGTTAATAACAAATAATGCAAAACGATTAAATCAAGCAACACATTGGTGTACATCCAGGCCTCACTGAAATAGATTTAGTTCTCTTTTTCATTCCATTAATTTCTTCATCTAATGTAGCACGGATGTACACTTTGATCTGTAACTAAAGTGACACTCATGGACCAAAATGCGGAGCGGTGAACCATACAAGTAGCATACATTAGAGAGCAAAAGCAGGATAGAACAATCATGTAATTGGAGCATGGACAGCAGTTACTGAAACCAGTAAGAGTATGGACCTTGACGGTAGATAGCTGGAGGATAAGTTGGAGATATCCAAGTTTTCCTTGCAATCTTAAATAAACAGTTTGTCTGCTTTTTTATTAGTTATATACTTTTGAATCCTAATCATATCGTACTAAACCAATAAATACATATTTCATAAGAAACCGAAAGGAAGATTTCTCACAATAGACTGCCAGAGATTCACATAAGATATTTGGATTAGAAAAATAATATCACATTTGAATTAATCAATCAAGGTATTGAATTGAAACCCATTTTTTCTCTTAAATCTATTCCTCCTTTCTAAGCAGTAGGGATCCCCCCATGCAAGGAGATGTCAGCAATTAAAGATTCGCAAATTAAGAGATCCACGCAATTGGGGTAGGGAGATGTTAAAAAAGTTAGTAGATCCATTCTATAAAGAAATAATAACTAGCTAGAAAGAAATAAATAAATCTACTTTGTTTATTGCAACAACTTATCTTGATTTTATATACGATGTAGTTCGCTTTCTTACGAGTGACTTCGTGCTTATATAAGGATGCTGATGTATATCACAAACTTGCAAAGTTATATTGACGATTGAAATTTTTTTATATGGACAAGAAGTAATTTCCTCTTCCATGAGAGATGCTCAAACAAACCACTGGAAACACCTAATTTGTTCGATACCTTCTTTTGTCATGATTTTTATCGATCTGATCTTCTGAGCAATCCCTCCTGGCTATACCTACATAAAATTTAACATAATAGAAATCATCCTAGTTACCTTCTCCACTCCAATTTCAGAGGATTGCTTATATCCAAAATTATATTAATGGCAAAACAAGCTTGTGAATTAATCATAATGCTTAATAATTGAGTTGTGATAAAATTATAGTGTTAATAAACAATTATACATTAAGGTTCTCAAAATTAAATCACTACCACAATACTTTAAATCATAATAGGGTCGTTAAAGTATAAACTAGTTTATAATGTAATTACGATTATACTGCTAATTATACATTTTTTTTTACTAGACAACATTATGACATGGTAATCATGACGGGTATAATCAATCATCCATTTCCTCTATTACGCAGATACTTGAGATATAAATGAGTTAGCATTAGTCGTTACATTACCTATATACTTACCATTAACAGTAATTGTTTGGTGATGTTTTGTGAAATCATTAATTGGTAACTATATGACAAAGAAAATGGAAAATGGAATTGCTTGAGTTTTATTCCATCTTTTGACAAATGTTTATACAACCCTAGCAAAATTATACAATAGAAATAATGCACAACCAACACATAAATATAATTATATAATTAATTATCATAAATCTGCACATGAATTGGTGAGGTGGCATTCACAAGCACGTGGATCAATAAGCTGATACACAAGGAGTCAATCTATCTATATCATGAAGATTATTTTTTGGGTACACTAATTGATGAGATGGCATACATAAAGCTGATCCAGCTATAATTTGTAAAAATTAATTTCCGCTTAATCATATGCATATCTTCTCTCGAATTGATATTGATTGGTAATAAAGCATCAATTTGCTTACAATCAATTGTTTTGTCTGATCAATATATTTACAAATATGTTTGGAAATTTCAAATTTTATGGAGAAGGTGAAAAAAATAATATGAATATGAGTATCAAGAGATTCTCAAAATGAGTAACAATCAACTTTAATATGTTTGGTTCTCACATTATATACCGGATTAGTAACAATTTAGATGCCATTTTTATTATCAGAATGTAGAGAAGTGAAATTTTTTCAAGGAAAAATCAAATTCAGACAAAAGGTCCATGTAGCTGAACATGCTGCAGACATGACGTGATACTAGAATATGCAGTTGATCTAGTTATAAGTTTCTTTCTTACTTTCCAATGAGATAAAAACTCATCAACAAAAATGCACTACCGTGTGAATAATTGGCAAGTAAAGTGGTACTCTGCCCAATCTTAATCGCTACATCCCATCACCAACAAACAACAATCATGTGACATGAACAAAGCACAATTGGTATCCCAATAAGATATTGAATAATTCCACGACTGGCAACCAAATGTAAGTGACCAGGATTTTGTATAAATTGACTAGGGTCTTAGGGTTTGTTTGAGGCAGTTGTAGCTTATTGAATAATTTGTTGATAAGATGATTAAAATTGTTGATAAGATAATTAAAAATAATCTGTTGATAAGCTAGGTACGGTGGCTATTATAATTTTTTTTATTTTTTTTGAAAAATCAGACCGCTGTCAAAAAGCTGTCACCGCACCTAGATAGGTGCGGTGTGAAAGCGCTGCTTTCAGCATTTTCAAAACGCATAAGCTGTTGAAACGCAGTTTACCCAAATAATTCAGGTGCGCTTTCAAAATGTCACTGCACCAAATAAGTTGCCCCAAACGGACACTTAGTTATTAAACTTCAAATAAAATCATCGATCAATAGTTTAGACTGCTAACAATTATATCAGACGGGATTAGAGAGAAGATCGCCTTCCTAACTATAATACTTTATATTTACCTCTAATGGTGTATCCGTTGCTCAAGTATCCTAAGAACCCGTCGAAATAATCATAACTTGTTTTAGGTTGGTTTAGAAATACACCAAGGAAATTGACATATACCTCTAATTTAAGAAGTAAGGAATAGAAGATATAGAAGATAATTTGTTTAGTTAAATTTTTATCAATAACGATGACACCATGAACATACGTTAGATTGGCTATTCTACTGGATGTCCTGTAGAGAAATAATGATGCATCATATTTTCTTTGTAAAAGAGAGAGAAATAGTATTGTACAAAGTTATCAAATCATGCACAAAGAGTCTGTTTCAAACCGTATAAGGAATGATTTAGTTTTCACGCTTCAATAAGAGAAAAAAAACAAGTACCATGTTGGGAACTTTCATGTAGATTTCTTCCTTGAGAAAGGAATATTTTACATTCATCCGACAACGTGGAAATTTTTGTGAAACAACAATCAAAATAATCATTCACGATATGGTCATTTTTGCTACAAAAGAAAATATTTTTCATAATCAATCCTATATTCTTGCTCATCATAAAAGCCAATCAATATTTTTTTACAGCAATCAACAGTACCACAAAAGTGGAGTTTGACTGAGTAAACCAATTTGTTCTCTATGCATTAAAACTTGGAGGATATTGAAGAATGTCTCATTCATAATTATCCTCAAGAACTTGAAGTTCTTCAGCCATAGCTTCTTTCAAACAATAATGTTTAATAGCCTATGAAAAAATTGAAGTAACAAGAATATAGGCCAATGTGGTGTAAAACCCACACCAATTTGGTGGATGAGAAATTTGGGAATACTATTCGAGAGCCATGATTGAAATCTCATTAGCAGATTCAGGTGTTGGATCAATTTGCAATGGTTGCAAATTGGTTTAGGTAGCAGATCAATAGGTGCTACCTCATATAAAGGATTCGACTTCAAAGCTATTGAAGTTAGAAAGTTTCTTTCAAGCACAAATTCATGTTTGAATCTTTCTAGTCTAAAATTTTGAAAATCAAAATTAGAAATAACATAAACTTTTGGCAGAGATTAAACATTAGTAGAGAATAAGAATTGTCGCTCAGATAATACAACATGACAGAATTTTGAAATCTTTTGGAGGCTGAATTGGAAAATTCATAGCTTTTGAGAGAAGTGCCATGGCCAATACGTGTGAATTTAATAAAATGAGCTAAAGCTTTTTGCCAAATATGTGAAAATCATATAGTCCAAATGTTTGTTAAAGAGTCATAACACAAAGAGAGTAAAACTTTAAAGTATGAGAGAGTAATTTATTAATTAGATAGACCATCTTGTCTAATGTTTCAACCCAAATTCTAAGTGAGATTGAGGATTCTGGTAATATAATTCAACCAATGCCAAGGAGATTATTTTTTCATTCTATAATGACATTTTTTTTAGTATCTAGAAGCATAATTTTTGACAAATAATTTCTTGTTTTCAACAAAATTGTGAATTTAAAGTGATATAGTCAACCTTAGAATCAGATATCAATATTTTGATGTGACATGAAATTTGAGTTTCAAAAAAAGCAACAAATATTTGGAAGACATAAAATACTTCATATTCTCGACTAAGAAAAACAATCAAGGTGTATTTATAGTAATCACCAATGGAAAATATAAAATATTTATAATTTTCATGTGATATATAATAAGTGATACTTTTACAAATAGGGATTAAAATAAAATAATTTCTAGCACGATTCTCATGTGATGAGAAAAATAAAATTATGCTTATTCCTAATTTACATGTTTAGCAATCAGGTGAAATGGGAAGAGTAAATTAATCTTTCTTTCATAAGAAAATAGAGAATTGAGTAATTTAAAATCTTTAAAAAAAAATAAGAACCAATCTTTTGCACCAAAGATCATTATTTTGTTTTATTTTATTAAAGTACAAGATAATGAAATCATCTTTGAAATTGACGAACACGAGGGACATAATTTTCTAACTTTAGGCCCTTCATGAGTATTTTCACTATCTAATGATCGTGCATAGATCAAGAGAAATTTGAAGTTTGCAGTTATTATCAATCAATTTTCTTAATGAGATGAGACTACTTGAGAGCATAAGAGATATAAGAATATCTTATACTGTATGATTAATATCTCCAATAGCTTTAATAGATAACTGTCTAACAATAGTAAATTGAATAGATGATGATCTATGATATGGTTATATATTACAAATATGACATAAAGTACCAATCATATAATTATAAGAACCAAAATATGCAAACTAGGATGAAGAGAATAGTGCATCTATAGCTTGAAATCCTAGAGTAGATAGGGCTTCAATTATCATCTATTGCACCATCTTGGAGTAATCTCCGATTTGTTCATGGATGCTAGACCATACTCTGATTAATAACACTTATGTAAATTTATTGTTGATTCTGCAAATGTTTTCAATATTCTAAACTGCATGTCCTAACATTTCCCGTTAGTTACTTTTTTTTTTCTTTAAATAATTTGCATCAACATGCCCATAACTCTTGCGAGTATAACATTGTATATGTTGCATGCCTGTTCCTCAATTCTTCCCTTGCACTCCATATGCACCAGTATTCTCATGCGCTTGATGTTGAAATATGATTTGAGTTGAGGGCTATTTCTCCTCAAGAAGTGCTACACTAAAGCACAAGTTTAACGATGAGTCAATGTCCATCAAGTCCTGATGCTTCATGTCCTACTTACATGAGCATTTAAGTTATCAAGAGTGTCCCATATTTGAATGTTGGATGGATTGCTTAATGGTCCTAGAATATAACTGCATATATATGTAGTCCTGGTATTTTCAAACAATCCTCACTGCTTATTAGTCCTTTCAAAAATAAAGATTTATTTTTTAGTCCTTTCATATCATCTTACTTTTCTTCCTTCAATCTGATTATTTTCTATCAGCAGATGGTTACAAAAAGATTACAATTGATTATTATCAGACGTATGCCGAATCTCCTACTCTGGTTATTAAAAAAAAATTGTCTTTTTATTGCCCGACATATGGTAATAATCAGATAGCTTCTAGCAATGACCAAATTTAGAGAGGAAGGATGAAAGTGGATATGAGTTGGGTCAAAAATAATAATTTAATAGAATTTTCTTTATGAAATTTAATTTGACTAAAAACAATACATGCAAATCAAAGAACTAAAAATAAATAATGGCAATACTTATAGAACTTTGGTTTAATTTTCCCCAACAATGCTTACTATAAACAAGTAAACTTTCACTTGAGAGTCCATAATAGTAATCAAAGGGATGAAACAAATTCAACTGAGAGCAGTAATCGAAAATAAATTTTGAGAAGAAATCAAGACGATGAAGCTAGAACCGCAGCAATAAAGATCAAGCTACAGAAAGGAAATATTAATACCTGGTGAAGCAAACTTCAAAGGAGTCGCCGAGAAGCATCTGACGGGAAGTCTCCGCCTGCAACTCCCCCTTGGTGGTGAGCACAGAATGATCGGAACTCCCCTGGATCCTCCCCTCCTCGTTCCATGTGCTCTGTCCGTGCCTCACCAAAACCACTCTCTTGGCCTCTCCAATCTCAGGGAACCTGGCCGCACGGCGCAACCCCGGCCTCGGATCTAAGTCCGCCGGAGGCTTCTCCACTTCCGACACGCTCGAACAGGAAACTAGAAGAGTTCTATGGTTTCTGCGATAGAGGGGAAGCGATTCGCTGGAAAGCGGCGACAGCACTGAGAGCATTTTGGGAGGAATTTGTCCACCATTCCTAGGAGATAATCTCGCATTTTATGAAATTAAAACCGTGTTATTCATTTGTTATTTTGTATTATTATGTGTTATTTCGTATTATTTATGTGTTATTGTGTCATTGAAATATATCTGGTATTATAATAACACAATAACACATGAATAACACGGGGGGAGAATATTTTCCCCTTGTTGCTGCGTGGTTTTTTTTTCTGTCGGGAATATTCTTCATGTTATTCATGTGTTATTATGTACCCTTGTTACTGCGTGGTTTTTTTTCCTACGGGAATATTCTTCATGTTATTCATGTGTTATTATGTATTATTCATGTATTATTGTGTATTATTCATGTGTTATTGTGTCTTATGAATATTCTTAGTGTTGTGATAACAGAATAGCACATCAATAACACATGAATAACACGCAATAACACATGAATAACACAGGGGGGAATACTCTCCGTATTACTGCGCCGTTTTTTTTCCCCTGTCGAGCGGGATGTCGTGGTGTGATTTCATTGGCTATGCACGTTACTTTTGCATACGTAGTACTGATGTAATATTTTTTTCACATTCCTAGGCGATCTTTTACAGTCAAACTTCGCATTGGTCGATTTTCATTTTCCTATCTTATTACACTTGAAGGGTTGTTTGCTAGCATATTATTTAGTAAATTTAATTTTACATATAACTTAAATTTTATCAAATATAAAAAATAAAAACTAAAATCAATAATGTTTATGTTCATTAAATAAAATACATAAATTCGAATTTATTAAATTCCTCTAAGAGGCAGATTTACAAGCTTTGCTAGTCGCTGGTCGTCGATGAATCCTATTTAACTTTAAATCAAGTCAAACAGCCTCCAAGGAGGTGTTTTTACTTCTGCATGAATTTATATTAAATTGAATTTATTAAATTTAATTAAAATACGATGGAAATAAATACACAAACGACAATAGAAATAAATTACTAATTATATCTAACAATCAAATTTATTAAATCAGAATTATATTCTAAAAGAGATCCAATATGGGAACAAAAACAAGACGCGAAAATTTTTATTTTAAATTTAATTCTAATTTTTATATGATTAAATCTTAAATATTGTTGTCACATAGACTTAAATAATACAAAAATACCACAAAAAACGTTCTTCGTTGACCAAATCCACGAGAAAAATTTACGTACGTAAGACGCACGCAACGCTCCGTACGTTATGAAGGTTTTTCAGAGGGTATTGGGGGGTTATATTCACGTTGTACCCCCTTGTAACTTCTTTGTAACCTACGTGTAACCTACCTGTAACCTACAAATAAGTTGCGTGCTTCTGTTTTCATATATTTGTAGTTTACAGGTAGGTTACAGGAATATTACATGAGATATAACGTGGATGTAACCCCCCAATACTGGAGATATAAAATGGATATAACCCCCCAATACCTTTTGTAACCTCCTGAAACGCAATTTTTTTCTTTAAATCCACAGCTCTATTATAAACTTTCCCGCGAGAACCTCTCGTCGTTCCCCTGTTTCTTCCCTGTTTCGACATTTTTCCAATGAATTCGACATTTTTCCATTGAATTTAGGGGTTTCTCTTTCGCAATCTCACTCTGCATCGTTCTATAGCAGCGAGCCCAGCTCCGTTCTTCGATCATCGAACAATGACCACTACTCTTCTCAGGTGAACAGGTGCAAAGTTTATGCTTGTCCATGGTTATTGCTTTATGTTTAGGGTTTAGTTTTTTTCTGTCATTTTTTAGCCATTTCGAGAAGAATGAATGAATCAAATGATAATAAGAGATCTTTAGTTATTGAGGGTTGTGGGATGGATAAATCACAATATTTTTATTGGTTTGCCTCCAAGATGAATTTAATTAGAACTCTATTAACAAATTCTCATCATTTGACATGAATCTCGGAACATGATATGGATCTAGATGCTTCTTTTCAAGAAATAAAAATGTTTAAACTTTAATTAAAAGCTATCCAGATCTTCGCATTTAGTAAACTTATAGTCAAACTGACCGACTCAACGAGAAGGACCCAATGATACCAAACTTGGTTCAATCAGAGTCAAATCAAGCTCAGATCAAGTCATCAAATCACGTTAAAAAAATTTTGGGCATTTTTTGAAGGTCAAACAGAAGTCAAATCGGGTAAGCTTCTGGCCAAATTGAGCATTTCAACAAGACAAATCCAATGAGCCCAATATTGCTCATTTTTTACATCGTCAAGGCAATCAAATAAACATCAAATACCGTCTGATCGAGGGAATCTCTCAAGGGCATTCGATTAGAGTGGTTTGCATTCATTCATTGATTGCTACCAGAACTCTCTAAATTGAGCCCCACCTCTCTCTTGAAAATTAAGAAAGAGCTTGAAGCCTGAAGAACACCAAAACTTGGAGAATGAGCTGAAGTTGCAGCCTATTTCTGTAGTCTTCAACCACCGCCAACCACCGTCGACCACCACTCGTCAATGGTCACCAACCACCATTGGTCGACACCCACTCCTTGTGAAGAAGCATCATGTGAAGCAACAACTGACGTTGTGAATTCACAAAGCAACCAACGAAACAATGTTTCATCCCCAATGATGATGCAACAACGTACCCAAAAAATGGTGTAACAACCAAGCTAAGGACGGTGCAACAGTGCATTCTGAAGATGGGGTAACGACGCACCTTGCATACGTTGACACAACTCTTAACTCCAGCCCATGTGGCCTATGGACATCATTGCATCTCACTATCATGACCTACATGATTGAGTACCGCATATGTGTTCCATAGCTTACGCAACTCCCAAACCCTGCTCCCATTGTCCATGAACGTTATTACAACTCACCACTATGTCGTACGTGACCCACTACGACTTGCATGGTCCACAACTAGTGCAACTCCTGAGTCTGGCCCTGTGGTCTACAAACGTCATCACAACACACCATTGCAGCCTACGTGGTCCACAACTTATGTAGCTCCCAATTCTGGCCCCTACGACCTACAGACGTCATTACATCTCAACACTATAACCTACGCGACCAACTATGACCTACGTGGTCCACAGCTCGTGTAGCTCACGACTCTGGCCTGCGTTGTCTACGGACATCATTACAGCTCACCAATACGGTCTATGTGGTCCACAACCACCATAATTCCCTACTACAACCCCTATGGTCAATCGATGCTCCTAAAACAACCATCCATGACCCACTTGGCCAACTACTTTCATGGTTATCAAATAAGATTTATATGTCAAGCTATCACTACAATCAATGTCCACAACACTCACGACAGACTGCTACCTCCACATTCACCAAGAACTACTGTCATATTATGATTATACAACTTTGTAATTTCATATTCTCTAATTCAAGAGAAAAGTGAGAGTGTGTACTCGCCATTCATTGTGGATTACTTAAACTGAGTTGGGCCTACTGATTTTTTCCTTTTTCAAGGATTTTCCGCTTAGATATTTGAGGTGTCTCCTCCTAATTACTTCTATTTTAATTCTATGAGTGCTTATTGAATTTTTATGTAATGTCAATATGATGATTACTTACTATACCATCACGAACCTTTCAAAACACATTAGTTTGATATCGTCTGTGAGAATCAAAGTCTTGTTTGCCACTGTCTTTAACTTTGAGATACATAGTTCATAATTTGTTTCCCAAAGATGTGCATCATTCAACTAACGAAGAAACCTCATTTGCATCTTGAAGTTGATCATTGAAGCATTCTTCAATGTGGGAGACAACATTCACTGTAGTCTCAAAAGGTCGTTCATGTCAATGTCTTGGACACGATCGTAGTGGGGTAGTCTTCTTGCATCTTATTTAGACACAAAGTCTTTTACAGCTTCTTTCAGGCTGTAAACAACATTTAATGCAAACTCAAAAGGTTGTTCACGTTAACGTCCCAGGCATGACTATGATAGGGTAGTCATCCCCTGTTTCATTCAAACATCGAGTCTTCGGGGCAGCCCCCAGACTGGGGGGTAACATAAGTTAATTTTGCATGATTTTATCTGGATGTTATCATTATTTTTACTTATTATTTCGTCTTTTTTATCATGTTTTTTATGCTTTTGGAAAGTTATTTGTGACATTTTTTAGGTTATAAGCTTCAAACATGCAAAACAAAAGTCAAAAAGCATGAAAATGTGTTGTTTGGCGTGACCACGCCAGTTTCAGGTGTAGTCACGCCACCGAACAAGCATATCTCATTTTGGAAGGTTTTTTCATGTCAATTTTTGTCAGATCTTTAAAAGATAAGCTAAGGCATGAATTGATGCATTCTTTGGTGAAGATGAGAATTGGAGACGAGTGAAGAAGATGTTTTTTAGAGTTTTCCTTAGGTTTTTTTTCCTTTATTGGGTTGAGGTCATAAGGGTTTCTTCTACCTTTTTTCTTCGTATTGTTCTTATATTTTTTTAGAGGTTATTATTCGAGAGAGGGTTGGCTATTATGGAAGAGGTAACACTCAGTATTTTAGGTATTTACTTTCAGTTTTACTAGTAATTATGAGTTTAATAAAATGTTTTTCCTACGTTACTTTCAACATGCGTAGCTATATTTTATTTCACTCCTCTATAATTTATGGGATGTGATTTTGCAGATTTTTCGGATGATTTTTCATTCTTTGGATTGTTCTCCTAAAAAATCAAGGCTTTCATTATTTTCTTAACCATAAATTTTTGTTTATTCCTAATTTGATAAATTAGGATGTTAACATATTTCTTAATATGTAACTCATAATCGTTGCATAGAGAAACGAAATGATTAACCACAAAATCTAGGTAAAATAGACATACTTTATCCAGCTTTTTTCAACCTATAAGGGGGATCAGAACAAATTTGTAGGATGTCATGGGGATTGAGAAAGCATCAAATTCTTGGATTATAACATTCTTTTGACATAGACATAGGCATAAAGAGGACTTTCTATCCCAATTGACGATAATCATGTTAGGAAAAGTTCAAGGAAATCATGAATCCCCACATTATCAAAATCACAAAGGTGTGAGCCTCACATACATTGAAGACACGTAAACTTTATCTGTCATTATTTTTCGTCATATCTGAACACTTTTATCATTTATTTTTGCTTTTGGGTATAATTTTAGGAAACCTTTTCTTTTTTTTCATGTTAAACTAAATTTATAAGTTTTTTAAACTAGAGATTTAACCCCCACAATAGTTCTTAGCCCTTCTATAATGGGATTGATACGCGATATCCTTTAACTGCATACTACTTGACACGTGCACTTGTATTGTACGATTGACTTACGTCCCCAGAAGTTTCAGTTTGTTAGGGGTCCACTTCACCAATAACGGTTTCTTAATGCCACCCAAAGTCTTGAAGTTCTTCCTCAACTTTATCAGAAAGTTGATCTCTCCAAGTTTCAATACATATGTTGTTTTGCAAGCTCGTGTAGAAAACACACTCACCAAAGGAACAACGAATTCAAAAGCAGCAGCAAACAAGTTGTCAAACATTATTCTTAAATATGGTTGCAATCATATTTCCAAGAAAGCCTGTGGTCCATTGCGGCCTGTGGTCCATTGCGGTCTGTGCCTAGTCTCGAGAAACACAGAGCATCTCTGACACCTCGTTCTGGGTTTAATCAAGCTCAAGGAGACTCAGTTTGACCTCTTCCATCATAGGGTATTGTTGTCAATATGAAGCTTAAACTAACAGTCTTAGATAGGTCAAAATTTTTTTTTGTGGATTTTTGTCGACCTCTTCCACCATAATTCACGGTCATCGAACATATGTTTTGACTAACAACCTTGGATAAGCCAACCATCCTCAACTAATTTCATATGAATTTGTCAATTACGGGTTAACGTCGTCGAGCGTCTCATACTATACAACCCATGATGGATCTTACATCGTTAGTGAAATATCCTTTCAACTATACTCCAACACAGTCTATAGTCGTCATATAACATGATTCAATTAACAACCTAATAAAATTCAAACATTCATAGTCGCATATAAGATCTACAACCATACCTCTAAAAGTCGAGCTCAAGATGTAAAACTTGATGGAAATTTATGGTACCCTTAGAAGTTGAGCCCAAAATGCAAGAGTCTGTGGGAAAGTACATTGCTTCTATAAGATAAGCCCAGGAGGTAAATCTTGATGGGAAACTACCATGTCCCTAGAAGTTTGGCCTAAGAGGAAAAAATTGATAAAAAGATACGGTACCCTTCGAAGTCAAGCATAGTAGCAAGACTCGATGAGAAACTATCTCACTCCTGGAAGAAGAGCCCAAGAGGCAAGTCTTGATGGGAAGCTAGTGGTGGATAAATTCATCACTATAAAAACTATACGAAAGCAAGTGGTTGAAAGGGTGCCTACTTAAAGACCTTAGAAAACTATAAGCCTTAGAAGGTATATATACATCATAGACCTCAGAAGACACATATAAATCAAATGCCTTAGAAGACTACAAGCCTCATAAGGCACCGACACATAAGTCAAAGAAGATACAAGTCTTAGAATATGTGAACCTAAGATAATACAAATCTCAGAAGGCACGAGTCTGAAACTGTATGCGATTTGTTTTTATATGAAGAGCACACACTAACTTCAATTTTAGACATCCGCAAGGGTTAGAAGCCACACAACCTGAGAAGGCATAAGCCTCAGAAGATTTTAACATCAACGACACCCCATATGTGGGGCAAAAGCATGCCATAATAGGCAAATCATGACTAAGAAGCAAAATCATATTTTTTTTCATTAAGAGAAACATACATACAGTCACACTATCAATCAATGATTACAACACTCTAATCCACAAAGCAAAGCATTAATAAAAATGCGGGAAAGTCAGAAATAAAGATGTCAATCTACTTCAACTTTCTTCTCCTCATCGGAAGTACGCTCTCAATGGTTGCCTTCGGGCTAAACGACGGTCACTTGGCTTTTGGATTAAAGACATCTCCTCAATGATCACAATGTTTTATTATCTTCTTTAAAGATCAACATCTTCTCTTGGAAAGCCTGCAATATCTTTGTATGTTGATCGAGGTTAGCTCGCACCTCTGACTTATTCTCGAGCATCCATCAATTCTCGATGTTTTTGGGAAGGAAAACCCGCCATGGAGAATAATTCATCCTGGCAGTTCACTAGTTGACGTCCCAATGACAACGTATCTACTACACATAAGTTATATATCTTCTCGTACTCGCCAAGGAAGTGGATAATTTCTGAAATATTGATCTTTAGTACCCTCAAAGAAAGAGTCGTCTCATCTTCAAATAGTGTTGGCATCACCCTCTCAAAGTTTTGACACTCTCTTTAGGTTTTGACAGGGCGAGATTCTTCAGGTGTCACCATCTCAACAACCATAAAGAAGTTCGCAAAAGAAGATCCTTGTGGTCCTGCTATTCAGGGTTAGGGATAACTTTCAAGACGACTTTCTCCTGCTTCTCCACGAAAGAAGATTGCAAAAGAAAGTTCAGGAGGCCCTGTTGGGCATGATTAGGAATAACTTTCAGGATATCTTTCTTTTATTTCTACACGAAAAAAGACCGCAAAAGAGAAATCCTCGAGGTCCTACCAGACAAGGTCGGGAATAACTTTCATAAGAGCTTTCTCATGCTTTTCCAAGAAAAAAGACCATGAAAAGAAATCTCGAAGGTTGAGCTGGGTAGGTGGGGGCCATGCTATTCTTCACTATATCGTAAAGGCTGACACACATAAATTGAGAATGGTACAAATTTTTACTTATTAATTTTTATGGCTTTCTTTAGTGGCTTTGTTATATATTTGTTTGAATATTAAATTATTAGTCATATAAATATAATAATAGAGAGTTTATTTTTAATGTCCGACCATCCATTCTTATCTTGGTTAACTCTAAGTATCAGACCACGTTGTGACATGATACTTTTTCTAAGAAAAACAAATTTTGAATCAAAACTAAACATATTTAGTGTATTGTAAACCAAACCCTTATTTTTAGAAATTTTATAGTGCAAGGATATGAGACCCTAAGGATAGAGTTCAACATGCAAGCCAGGAACTCCATCATGTTGTCATCGTCGTCAAATATGTTCAGTTCAGTGAGTAGATTGTAGAAGGTAGCGATGAAATAGGAGCTGCACTTCCACATAATATGGAAGGTACTACTTCAGTTATGTGGTCTCAGAGCGATGATGGAAATGATAAAGATTTCAAAAGTACAATACTTCATTTGAAAAGAAGCTATGAAATTTCCTCACCACCTAAAGTGTTATTGAGTATGCAATGAACGTACCTTATGACTTCGATTTCATTTCTCCGCCTTTTTCTTTTATTTTGTTCACTCTTTGATAGAATTTTTAAGAGTGATTTCCACTTGATTTGTATTTCTTTATCACTTTATCAATTTTGGGACTGTAAGATTCGTATGCATGTATCCTCATAATAATTCTTAATGTATTATACTAGATCTAAAAAAGAGTGTAATCTAAAAAGATATGTGTTGCAAGTGATACGGAGTTCGACAATTGCTTAGCCTTATATATCCTTTTTAAATTAGTGTATTTTTTAATACCTTTATTTTTTATTCATATTAAATAAATTTACTAATTAAAAAAAATATTTAAAGAGATAATTACATATATAACACATAAATTTTTGTTATTTACAAAAATTAAAACTCATATAATTTTTTGTACTATTAAATTGTTGCATTCATATAAGTTTTATTGTGAATTTTGATAGTTGAGTGAGTATACAAGGCTATTTTTTCTATTTTATTTTATTATAAATAGGATGGATAATTTTATATATATATATATATATATAGTGCTAGTTTTGTAAATAGAAAAATTTTAAGTACCATTTATGTAATTGCACCTAAAATGACAGGGCATATGTATCTTATTCCATAGAAACCCCGTCTCATGCATTTTCCAAATTCTAGGCCAGTTGGCCAGAAGGCCAAGGGCTTTGCACCTAAACCAAATGGATTCCTAACCCTAGAAACCAAATTGGAGGGAAGCGAATTCTCTTTATGAGATTAACTTCTGCTGTTCTTTCTCTTCTCCCCTCTCCGCTTCTTCCCTTCAGTCGCCACACACGCACTCCTCGTAAGCATTTTTCCTCTTCATGTTTTTTTTTTGCACAGGAAAGCTCCCGCACTTTTGCTCTATCTTCCCTTCTATGGAGCATTTCTTTCAGGATTAACTTGGGTTCAACCTACATCCCGTTTCTCTTTCTTCTTGCTGTGAATCTCGGATTCAGTAAATCCGACTGATAGGGAGATTTACAGGATTTGAGATACTGAAATGCGCGAAGGACTGTAGTCGTTTCTTCTTTGTCAGAATATTCCTTTTATCTTCGCACGGTGCTCGCCGCTTGTCCTATCAACGCCGCCTCTAGGCGTTCGGTGCTTTGGGTGGGAGAGAAGGAGAGGCATTTTTTAATAAATTTTAAATTTTTAATGGGTATTGATTAAAATAGAGATGTTAATTTAATTTTAATGATTAGCATCCGAAGATCAAAGCTTGAAGAAGGCATACTGAAAGAATTTTTTTTTTCTGTTAATTAATTCTTCTGCTGTTATCTGATTGAGTAGAGCATGACAATGAACTGATTTTATGTGGTTACTGTAAAACTAGGCAGGTTTCTTGCGGATATCTTCTAAACTATCTGTTTCTACGAAGGACACACTTCTGTGTGCAGCCATGAGCGGCGATATCATCAGTTCCGCTCCTTCGCCTGGGCAGGTGGCAGAAACTGTGAGTGACTGCCTTCTTCATCCTTGTTGTCAAATTTTTATTGCGAGTGTATGATTCTCTTAAGTTCTTAATGATTCAATTGATTCTCTTATTTTCTAAAATTCAATCTACTCTGGCTTTTTTGTGCAGTATTTTTGTGGTAATTATTGTGATATTGTGTTACCATAACAGATTGATTTTTAGCATGTAACACCTTAGGCAGGGAATTCAGTATATCACGAAAACATTGTTATGATTAAGAAACTTATCCATAACTCATTTGATAAATTTTAGAAGTTAAGTTAATAAAATTTATTTCATTCCATGATAATAGAAGATTTAACCGTGTTAGGTTCGCATGACATTGATTTTATTCTTATGGCCTTAAGTGAAAATATAAGTGCAAGGTACTTATTGATCTTATGCAATGGCCTTAAGTTCCGAAGAGTGATCTCTTGGAGTAGATTCTCATAATAGGTGGCGTCAGATTGAATTTATAATTGCATGTGCTAGATATGATGATGTTTCCTCTTTTGAATAATTCTTTCAAAATATTTTGGCAAATGTTGTAGATTGACGACAATCCTTTGAAAACTGATAATCCATGGTATGTTCATTGTTTCATCATCGTTTATATTTACTTGAATAAGTAGTTGTTCATGCTGATTGAGTTGCCATTCATTATGAACTTAACATCAGAAGAAAAATATGTGAAAATATCGTGCACTCGTACAACTCTCGGAAGAG